GGGCCGGGAGCCGTGCCCTCGGGCGGGGCAGGCTCGTCGCCCGTCCCCGCGGCGCCCGCCTCGCCGCCGAGGCGCACGTAGTGCGCGGGGATCACCAGGGTGGGCATGACGTTGCGATAGACACTGTCCTTGAGGTGGTCGATGGAGCCGCAGAAGATGAGCTGCCCGGCCTGGCTAAGTGACGGCGGCCGCGCCAGCTGGTCCACCGACTGCGACAGCAGGAAGTCGGGGGTCTTGCTCTCGGCCGCCCCCTTGTGGCCCAGGTAGTGCTCGAAGGGCGGCGGCGGGGAGGGCGGCTCGTGCAGGAAGGCCGCGGCCCCCGAGGGCCCCCGCCGGTACTCCTCGAGGCCTGGCTCCAGCCCGCCGGGACCCTCGACGGAGCGGGCGCCCTTGAGCCCGGCGCCCTCGCCCCCGCGGGCACCCGCGGGCTCGGCGGCCGGACGGCTGCCAGAGCGTGGCTTGGCGCGGAAGAAGTCGTCCCGGGAGGCGGCCAAGTCCCGGGAGCTGGAAAAGGCCGAGTGGAGGGGGCCTGGAGGCGGAGCCTCGGGGTCCCCCGATGGGGCAGGCTCCAGGGGCCCCCCACAGATGAGGTGGAGCTGGGACATCGAAGTGGCCTGGTCTCGTTTGTTACCATCAGAGGGCCCGGAGAGCTGTAGCTTGCGGTGCTGTTGCCTCGGCTTCAGGCAGCGCCTCCTGGAGAGGAGGGAGTAGACGGGACTGTTAGGAGAGGGTGGGGGCCAGAGCAGCTCCCTAAACCCTGCACTTGCAAGATGAGGGATGGATATAGGTGGAGGAGCCAGGACAGTGCCTGGGACTTAGGAGAGATGTTGGGGAGCCCAGATGGGTCCTGGGAGAGGTTTGTGGAAAGAACTTGCATGTCTGTGGAAGGTCCAGCCAGCAGCTGTGCCCATTGGGTCCCCCTCGGGGTAAACTGCACTCCTTCGCATGAAGAAGGTGCAGTGAGAAGGTGGGAGGAGCACCTAAGCCAACTAGGGACTTGTCTGGCCCGAGGTCCCCTGGAAGTGAGAGCTGGGCTGGTAGGAACAGCTGCCGACTGTCTCTGGAGGGGCCTGGCCTGCAGGTCTTGCCTCCTCTCCCCCCACCGTCTTAAGCCACCGGTCTTTCAGGTCTTTGCATGTGCACCTGCAGTGCTTTCCAGTCAGTGTCTTGAGGATTGGAACTGTGTTTTATGCATCTTTGGGGCCCAAGCGCCCAGCACAAGACCAGGCATAGAACAGGCCTCAGTCTGCATGGGCTGAGAGGAGATTGGGGGCGGAAGGTGGGCTTCAGGAAGGCTGGGGGATTGGAAGCCACTCACCGGCAGTAGTAGATGAGCAGACACAGCAGAATGAGCACCAGCAGGGCCAGGGCTGCCAGGATGGTGAGCAGGAAGATGGTATGGTAGGTGCCAATGTCCTGGATGCCCGATGTGATGGTGACCAGCCCTGTGCCAGGCAAGGGCTTAGCGTCCAGGTGTGGATGCCCTTCCTGACTTTCAGAAGGAGTCCACTCTCCCAGCCTCCCCTTCCATCACTGCCCCCGTCCCCGCTGTCCCCCCACTCTCACCAGCCGTGGGGGAGGCCATTGCAGCCACCCAATACCCCAGCTGGGGGGAGACGAAGGTCCAATAGAGCTGCCGGCCTTCCTTCCGGATCACACCAGTGCCATTGCGTACCCACAGCCCTGGGAGAGGCAGGGGTTTCATCAAACTCAGCGTCCCCCATCTAAGTCCCACTTTTTCCCCCGAGCTCCAGCACCTGCAACCCCTTGAGGCACTCACCACTCTTGGGGTCGAACCTCCAGGCTGGAATGCTGGTGCCCACGGCAAGGGCACGAGGCTCTGAGGGCACAGGCAGGGACAGGTGAATGGGGCCCGAGAGTGGGACCTCTGTCCCATTGCCTGTCAGCAGGTGCACGCTCACAGCAGCCAGGGGCATCAGCTCCAGCCAGGAGCCATTGCCTGGAGGAAGGGGACACAAGGGCTGAGGGCTAAATCCTGAGCAAGGGGGGACATCCCTTCCATGCCTGGCACCCAGCATACCTGAGCCGGAGGCTTCGGTGCCCAGGAAGGCCGGGAAAGCCCGCATTTCCTGCTGGGTGCTGGCAGGTGTGAGGGAGGCCCAGAGCTGGCTGTAGGTGGAGCTGACAGGCAGGCGGGCAGCCCGGCGCTGGAACTGCACCCAGGGCTGGGAGCGGGCACCTGGATGGAGAGAGGGGCTGCAGTGGCCTGGCCAGGGACAAGGTTGTCCAGGGACCAGAGCAGAAAGCAAGTATCTGAGGAGAAGGGGAGCCATTGGGTCAGGCCCCCTGGGAAGGCCAGGGAGGGTGGTGACTTGGGGAGAGAACTGGGCAGTCATAGAATGTTAACTTGCAAGGGACACGGACCAGAAATCTCCTACTTGTGGCTGTGTGAACTTGAGCAAGTTACTTACTCTCTCTGAAACAGTTTCCTTATTCACCTATAAAAAGATGAGCTTCAGGTCCTCAACCAATTATTGTTGTCTACTGTGTGGCAGGCACTGTGTTAGGTGCTGGGGATACAAAGATGGATAAGACATAATTCACAATTCCCTGCCTTCAAGTTAGTCTAGTGCGGTGCTGTCCATTACAGTACCCTTTAGAACTTTCTGATGTGGGGGATATCTGTGCTGCCCATTATAGTACCTACCAGACACACATGGTTATGAAGCACTTGAAATGTGGCTAGTGTAACCGAGGAACTGGATTTATTTTTAACTTTAAAAAATTTAATGAATTTTAAATTTATTTAAATAGCCACACGTGGCTAGTAGCTACTGCATTAGATAGCTTAACTTGTGTGCATGCACGCACGTGTGTGTTTGTCTTGGGGTGGAGGGGATGTGAAACAGAACTCCAATACACTATAGTAATAGCTAACATTTATTAAGCTGTAAGATATGCTGGGCACTGTTATAAGCAGGTTACCTGTATTAACCCGTGTCATTAGCACAACAGCCCCTGGGGTAGTGCTTTTATTATTAAGCCCATATTATAGATGGAGAAATGGAGGCGGGAGAAGTTCACTAACTTGCCCAAGGTCTCAATCCTGGGGCCCGACTGAAGCCCAGGCAGTCTAGTGCCAGGACACATGCTCTCACCCACCAGTCCATCTTGCCTCACTGTTAAAATGGATGCAGGGTGCAAGGGGAGCGTGGCCCTCCCAGCTCAGGGAGGCCCTGTGGAGCTTTGCAGGATGGGGAAGACTCAGCCAGGAGAGAAAGTGGAAAGGCCCAGAGGCCTGTGAGGCAGCGGCAGGCCAGGTCCCGGAGGGCGCTGTTCACTTTGTAAAGGAATCTAGGCTTTGTACTGAAGCAGTGGAGCCATGGGAGGGCTTTAAGCTGGGAGGCAACAAAGGGTTCATTTGGCATTTTAGAAACCTCCAAAGACATTTTGGAAGCCTCTGGGTCAGGATCAGAGAGATGAAGAGGAGCAAATGAGTAATTTGGGGACAGGGGCTCAAGCTGAGAATATAAACTGGGGAGGGTGTTCTCCCACTCCAAAACCCACTGTGGCTCCCTAGTACCAGCCAGATGGAGTCTCCCCTCTGCCTGGCTTCATCAAGCAGTCTGCACCAGGTGCTCCTGCTGCATAGCCAGACCAGAGCATTCCCTGCACCCTCACTGTCCCTATCTGTCCCTGCATCTCGGTGACTCCCTCAGGTCTTCCTCTCCAGTGAAGGTGCCTTTGCTCCCCCTTCAATTTTAAGCCCACGCAGTCCCACAGCCCCTTCACCAGATTCTCTTGCCCTGCTACACTCACAGGTTAGGGTTTTCTCAGTATTGAATGCAGCCCTCTACTGCACTGCCCGGCTGCTTTGTCATTATTCCAGGGTTTGCAATGATCTGTTTGTGTGTCTTCCTACCTGTCTGAGCCCCACAGGGCAGGGAGCGGGTCTGTTCTTCCTTACCATTGTTCCCCAGCACCAGACACCACGCCCGGCACAGCACAGGTGCTGCAGTATTAGCTGAATGAGACTGAAAGCCCGTGGGCAGACAAGGGCCACTGCAGATTGCTCCAGGCCTTGCTCTCGATAGGTTCAGTACCTGTGAGGTCACCCTCTCATGGCTTCCTAACTCAGCCAGGCACCCAGCAAGTGCACAACAAATGGAGAGCCACTGAAGATAAAGGGGGCAGGGAGAGGGAATTCTAATGGTAGGAGTCGAGGGAGAATAGAAACCACGAGAAGCCCCAATAACAATAAACATTTATTGACCAGGTTCTGTGCTGTTTTTTGCATGCTTGATGATATTTAATTCTTACCTCAATTTGATGATGTAGGTACTATCAATAGCCACATCTTACAGACGAATAAACTAAGGCTCAGAGGTTAAGTGACTTGCCAAGGGCATACAGCTAATATGTGCAAGAGCAAAACTCTCTATGCCCAGGTCAGGGGGAATGAAGAGGAGCTGGCGTGGCGGGGGAAGTGGGGGAGAGCCTTACCAGGAGAGCCCAGGAGGATGTGCACCAGGTCCTCATAGAGGATGAGGGTGGCCGGCCGCTCTGGGAGCAGGTAGAGGCTGACTGACGCGTACACTGTGGGAGGGGTGGCCTGTCAGCTCCAGAGAAAGCCCCTCCCCCCAACCCCCGCTGGGCACTCCCTCCATCTGAATCCCAGTGACTTCATTCTCCCTCAGCCCCCTCTGTGTACCCCAGCCCAGGCAGCAGCTGCTGGAAAGCCTGCCCCCTCCGCCCCCAAGGACTATTTTGGGAAGGGGCTGATGGGGTCAGCTGCTGCCCCCCCCCCACCTGCCCCTGCACTCACAGGGCAGCTTGTCAACACGCCAGGGCACGGAGTTGGTGAGGAAGCCAGGGCGGGCAGCAGTGACCAGCACCCAGGTGCCCAAGCGGTAACTGAGGGGCAGTGTGGCCACGCCCTCTGAGTCCGTGGTGCCAGCAGCCAGCAGCATCCGGTTCCCAAACACATCCACTGAGGCCCGAGCTAAGGGCACCAGCTCCCCGCTCACATACACCTGCACCTTGATCAGGATCTCTGTGGGCAAGACGGGGTGAGGAGAGTGAGGAGGAGAAAGGAGAGAACTGGGGGAGCCCTGAGATCAGAGGAGGGGGCTGTGGGTTGGGAGCAGCTTTGGGGCCAAGGCTAGGTGAGGTATTTTAAGAGCCAGCATTTATAGAGCCCTCATTTAAACCTCACATCAGCCTATGAGGTGGAGGGTACTATTACCATATTTCATCAAGTCTAACACATGCACTTTTCCACGTTTTAACATTTCTGAACTCAGGCTATGCCTATGATTGATGATGTCATAATTTTAATCGGCAGCATTTTTTTCCTTTCTTACTGGTACATGAAATGATGATGCATCTTATAGTCAATGATGTATTAGATTCGATAAAATATGCTCTTAGCCCCTTTTACAGATAAAGAAACTGAGACTCAGAGTTTAGATACTTGCACTAGAGTTAAGTGGGGGATGTGGGATCCAAACCTGGAAGTCTGCCTCTATACCCAAATTCTTTTTTTTTTTTTTGTGAGGAAGATTAGCCCTGAGCTAACATCCATGCCAATCCTCCTCATTTTGCTGAGGAAGACCGGCTCTGAGCTAACATCTATTGCCAATCCTCCTCCTCTTTTTCCCTTTTTCTCCCCCAAGCCCCAGTAGATAGTTTTATGTCAGTTGCACATCCTTCTAGTTGCTGTATGTGGGATGCCACCTCAGCATGGCCAGACAAGCGGTGCGTTGGTGCGCGCCGGGGATCCGAACCCAGGCCGCCAGTAGCGGAGCGCGCCCGCTTAACTGCTAAGCCACGGGGCCAGCCCCATATACCCAAACTCTTAACCACTGGACCAGTGGGGCTGGTCTCAGGGAGAGGAGGGGAAAGGAGGGCTGAGAAAGGATGAATAAGTAGAGAACCAGGGGTCTGCAAGTGAAGAGGAGAGAGGTCAGGATTCAGCCATTTGGAAGGGAGGGTAGAGGACTGGGTCAGAGTTCGGTTTCTCAGGAAGAAACTGAGAAGGGGACACTAGGGAACTGGTCTTTCCCATCATCCATCCTTTTCCCAGAATCCTTTGTACAAGCCTGTTTCCCTTAAGATTTAGGGACTCACCCCAACCCCTAAGCCCAGAGAAGTGCCTCCTGACCCCTCCCCCTCACATGTACTGCCTGTCCCTTCTCAGCTGGTCAGCTATAGTCAGTCGCCATGGCAACGCCCTCATTCCTCCCAAGAGATGGGCAGGGAGCTGGGGCCCTGGCAAGGGGAAAGAGATCTGGGGGGCGGGGGGCCAACCCAGGCCCAAGGGAAACTGGTGTGGAGGGGGCTGGGAAGGGAAGTCCAAGTCTTTTGCTTTCCAGCTGCCTCTGCCCCTAGCCCATGGATGAGCCAGCCAGGATGAGCCTGCAGGTGTCCTTAGCTCAGATGGGGTGACGGGGGAGGGACTGAGCCTTGAGTTGTTCTCATGGATTCCCTGGGCAGCCTCTCTGATCCAGAATACCCTCTACCCCTTCCCACTCAGCACAGCCCCTCTTCAAGAACATGCCTCACCCCTACCTTGCTGCTAATAATGGGAGTAGGTGTCATGCCTGGAAAGGTACAGAGGCCTCAGTGTGGGGCCCAGGAGGCAGGTGGGGAGTGGGCTTGGTGCTGGACACAAACCCAGGAGAGTCCAGGGACAGAAGAAAGAGCCTGGAGCTAAGGGCAGCAGGGCATGGGGAGGTCAGGGGGCCTCATGGGTGGAGCCTGACACTCAACAGTGACAGGTGTCTTATCTCAGGCTTCTAAACCCAGGGCCATTGCCACGCCTGTCCCTGGCATCCCATCCAGCTGTTCGCTTGAGTCCACCTCCCTCTCCCCTCCCAGGCCAGAGCCCAACTCTGCAGGGTGGGTGCACACACTCCACCCTTTCCTGCTTTCTGGTTCTCCCAGGAACTGGCAGCCTCCCCTCTCCCCCCTCCTCCTAGTAGGAATTCTGAGTAGCTAGAGGGGCCTGGCTACTCCCCACCCCTACTCCAGGCTAGGAGCAGCTGGGTGGAGCAGCTGGGAAGAGGGGACCCAGGAGTATGGAATATGGTCATTTGAGGGAATGCTTTGGGTTCAAGGTCCAGAGCCTCAGAAAAGGGGAGGGGGCCCAGAGAACAAAACAGGGGTGGGCAGGTAAGGCAAAGGAGGCATCAGTGCCAAGCTGGGGGGTGGGAGCAGATGCCTAATTCCCTTCCCCGTTCCCCTCAACCTGGGCTCCCAGCCAGAGGCCTGGGAGAGCCCCCTATCCTGGCTCTATTCCAGCTAATTCCCTGGGCCCCCTCCCCTGGGGTGCCGGACTTGAGGGAGAGGCTTCCTGAGAAACTAGGGCCCCTTCCTACCCATCAAAGCCTCCTCTCCTCCCCCAGAGAGCAGGGAAGACTGAGCCTAGGAGATCCTTCTCCGTTCCCCAAAGCCTGACATTCCACACAGTACCTGCCTCTCCTGGCTTCAGCCCTGCCTCATTCCAGGAGGAAATCCGACCCCCTCCCTTCATCCGGACCCCACTTCCCTCATCCAGACCCCCCCACCTTGCTTTTCCTGCCAGCTCCTTGGTGGGGAGGTGAGGAGTGGAGAGCGCCGTTTCAGGCAGGGATGGGGCCCAGAAGCAGGAGAGGGGAGAGCAGTAGCTGGGTGGTGGGGCAGGAGGCTGGAAGGTGGGTACAGGGCTGGAGTGGGTGGAGGCTCCTGAGAGCCCAGGCGTCTGTAGGGAGTCATGGTCCAGCTCTCCCACCCTCTCCCGCTGCAGGAACCGACCCCACCCCCACCTCACACACCCACCTGGGCCCGGTTAGGCGCTGGGAGGGTCTCCTCCACTGCGATGGAGAGGTGAGATGAGGAGGGGGTGACCTGGGAGTGGACCGGGGACAGGAGTGGCCAGAGACCTGGTGGACGGGGACCCAGGCACCTGCCCTCCCAGCCGGCACTTCCCACAGCCCGCTAGCCAGCTCAGCATGGCTCCGCCACCACAGCCCTGCCATGCGCCTTGAGCTGGGAATCATAATGCACCCCTTTTCCCAGGCCCCCCCAACTGCAGCCCCTCCTTCGTCATGGGCTGAGCAGTGTTCTCTGGTGCACCACAAGTTCTGAACCTGGGGGGCCGGCTGGAGGCTGTCAGGCTCCAAGGCAAAGAACCCCATTCAAGCAGTCAATCCGCCCACTGCCTCACCCACTCCCCCTTCTCCCCTCCTCCCTTAAAAGCCAGCTCCAAGCGCCCAGCACTCTTCCGGGCCCAGGGTGGCAGCCGACGCCTGCGCCCCCACCCAGCCCAGGTCGGCAGCGAGGAACCCGCAGGGGGTTGCGGAGCGGGCGCCCGCCCCAGCCCGCCCCTGGGCGGGTGTCTTCGGCAGACAATGGCTCAGGCAGCAGCGCCTCGCGGACCAGGAGGGAGAAAAACAAGGAGGGAGGGGGCGGCGGCGCGGAGCCTGGGGACCCCTGCCCCCTTCATTGTGTCTCCTCGAGACCCCCGCCCCAGCGGTTTCTCTCTCTCTGTCCGTCCTCTTCCCCCGTAAGCGCTGATCCCAGGCCGCCCAGCTCCCCCACCCACAAATCCAGGGAATAGAATACCCCCCAAATGCACGAGCGCCGCGAAGAGGGGGCTGGCGGGCGGGGACCCGATCGGTGGGAGGGTGCAGGCCCGCGATCGCTGCCCCTCCAGGCCGAGACTCACCCTGCGGGCTGGGGGGCTCCGGCGGCGACTTGCCGGGAGCCCGGGAGGCACCGCCGAGTAGCAGCCCCAGCAGCGGCAGGAGCCGCGCAAAGACGTTGGGGCCACTCGACGGCGGCATCGCGGGGCTCGGCCCGGCCCTAGCGGCCCATGGCTCGCGCCCGGCCCCGCTCGGCTGGCCCGGCTCAGCCCCAGCTCTGCGCTGCGCCGCGCCGCGCCGCGCCGCTCGGGCTCCCGCTCTGGCTGCAGCGGCGGCTCAGCGCGATTGTCTCAGCCCGGAGCCGCCGCCAGCGCCCCCTGCAGGCGGCGCCCCACCCCGCGGGCGTCCCGGCACCGCCCCCTCGCCGCCCGCTCCGCCCGCCAGCACTGCCAGCCCTCAGCCCACCTGGCAGCCCCCAACCTCGCGCTCCCAGACCCCCAGCTGCGAGGGGGTGTAGCAAACAGGGTCCAATCACCGGGCTTCTTGGAGTTCCAGAGCCCCTGATATTTGGTGCAAAATTCTGGGAGGGAAGATGGCTATTGCTTACAACATGCTCACAGAGGTACGTACGGTTGAGTGTCTCCAAAAAGTGTAAGAACTGCCAGGTTCTCTCTGCACGATGTCGGAGAGGCAGCGCGCAGCCCCCTTGGGAATGTCAGTCCCGGTTTCTGTCTAGCTTCTGCTCACAGCTTACTGAGCTGTGAGCAAGTTACTTAGCTTTCTGGTGCTCAGTCTTCTTTTAAAGTGAAAATTGTAATAATCTCTACCTCCGTGGGGTGGTTGTAACGATTAAATGAGATGACATAAAGGGTCTAGCACATGCCTGACAGGTGCTATTGTTGGCCCAGGTAATAAGATCCAGTGCTGGGCAGTCATAAGGCTTAGGAAGTTCTTCTAGAGGTGGAAGCAGCTATTCTTTCTCACTGAGAATCACAGGTTGGTCCCACTGGTTCCGGTTCATGAATGACAAACTGTGTCTTTTCCTTCTTCCTCAGCCATTAAACCCCACATTTGAAGACAGCTATTGGCCTGCCCTTGCCTCAGCTAAACTCTCTTTCCTTCCAGTTTCTGGTTGTCATCATCACTCAGCTTCTGGGTGGCCAAATCCTCATCTAATCTGCTATTTCTCTCCTGGTTCTCTCTGGTTTGTGTCACCTTCTCCTTCTCACAATGTGGTGCCCCGGAGGAGACTGGATACCTAGGGCAAGGACCTCGGGACGCAGGCTTCTCTCCTGGTGCCTCTATCCTGGTTGGGTCCCCTGGTTGGGTCTTCTGACCTAAGGGGACTTTGTTACAAGCTCGTAGACAAAATTATCAGCTTCTTTTTCTTTCCTTCTCTCTTTCCTTCTTCCTTCCTTCCTTTCTTTTTCTCTCTCTTTTTCTTTCTTTCTTTCCTGCCTTCCTTTCTTCTTTCTTTTCCTTCCTCCCTCCCTCCCTTTCTCCCTTCTGTCCTTCCTTCCTTCCTTCCCTCCCTCTCTCTCTTCCCTTCTTTTTCAAAAATTTCCATCTAACCAGCTTTCCCAGTCCTATGCTTATGTAATCAATTTGGGGGAACCTCAGCACAGGATTTAGCACTCATCCCTGGTGACTTTCATCTTGTTGGTTTCAACCCAACTTTACAATCTGTCAAGGCTGCCTTGAATCTGCTTCAGTCACCCATTGTATTGGAGCTCCCTCTCAGCCAGCAGCCATCTGCAGAGTGAAGAGCATCCCTGCCTCCATTTAAGAGACTCATGGCAGTACTAGGCAGCCCAGGGCCAGGATGGAGCTTTGGGACACCCCCATAGAGATCTTCTCAGCTTTATCAAAATTGTTCAGGTTTAAAGCTGAGTCTCTATCATCCAGCTCACATTTCTGTCGTCTATAAGGACAAATGCCAAATGCTTTTCTGGATCAAGATAAATTGTCTGGGGCCACTCATTTGCAATGGCAGAGGGGAGAGGGAGTTTGGCTGGTGTTCAAGGATCACAGCTTAATCTTTTCCTAGATGTTCACAGTCACCTAACTAGAAACCTGTTCTAGAACTTGCCATGCGTAGATGTGAACTGTTTGGTGCTTTTCAGAATTTCCCTTTTTACTCCTTTGGGTAAAATCAAATACCAGCAGCTCTTGTGAGGTAAGTCTGTCCATCAGTGGCTTCCCCCAACACTTAGCAACAAGTCCAAAGTCCTACCCATGGCCACAAGGGGCTGCCTGCCTGCCCCCACCGCTGACCTCATCTGGACCCCTCGCCCGCCGCCAGCCCATGGGCCTTCTTGCTTTTACTTGAACACATCAAGCCTGCTCCCACTTCAGGGCCTATTCACTGGCTGCTCTTTCTGTCCACTTTAGTCCCATGCAGCTGCCAGGCTCATTCATTCATCTCTCTGCTCACCTCATCTGAGAGGACTTCCCTGACCACTCTGCCTAAAATGTCAGCCCTCTCCCAACACCCACATAATTCTATCTCTATCCCCTTACCCTTATTTTTACTCCCAGCACTGACCACCATGACCACACGTTTGCTCTTTAGCCCTGGTTGAATGTAAGTTCCATGAGTGCAGGGACTCTGTGCTGTATGCTGCTCCATCCCAGCACTGGAATGGTACCAGGCACATGGTAGGTGTGTGATATTTACTGAACACATGAATCAACAGATCCCTCAGGACTCCAGGTGGACCCCCCACCTCTATCCCCTGACTCCAGTCTCAGCAGGGAGAGAACTGTCTTCCACTCCTAGCCCTCCTGTGAGCTCCCTGCCCATTGCCCTCATTCCTAACTGAAGACCCTTCTCCTTGGTGGGGCAGAAGGAATAGCAGCAGGGTGGCTGGACAGCAATGCCTGCTCTTCTCTCCCTGGTGTGACACTGCCTTCCTCAGGCTGAGGGCTTAGCCAGCCTCCCACTGCCACTCTTCACTCTGAACACAGCTTTAAAGGCTTTTTTATGAGTGGGGAGAGCACATTATCTCCCCAAATCAAGTTATCTTGAAGTCTACCCCTCCAAAATCTTGAAAAAAATATTGTTTAAAGCCGCCCACCAGGGAGCCAGCCTGCCTTCTCTAATGCTCCCACCCAGCCACCCTCATACTCCCTTTCTAGTCTCACCTGAAGGCTCTGCCACCCTGTCCCTCTTTCCCACCCCCACTCCCTGACACTCCCCAACCTTTGTCCTGGCAGAGACCTTCTCTGCCCACACTTCTACCAGCCCCAGACCCCCACTCCAAACATCATCCCCTCTCCTTCTCTGACCCCAAGAGGAGGCAGCATGCTGGGGGTTGGGGCTCAGCCTCTTTATTAGACAGTAGGAAAGAGGGTGGCTCATCTCTGACTTGGGGGGAGGGCAGCAGGAGGCCTCCATGGAACAGCGCTAACCTGTGGGTGACCAGAGCTAGGGGGGCCCTCAGAGAAGATGGGGCAGAGCAGGCACCATGCCTAGTCTTCCTGCTGGGACAGAGTGTGGGCTGCACCATCATTCTTCTTCTTCATCTTCTTCCAGGGGTGGCCGATTCCGCTTGAAGAAGCCGACCTGGGGGTGCAGAGAGGCCAGGGACAGGATGTAAAGATGATCCTTACTCCCCAGAGCAGCAGTGGAGGAAGTATGCTAGAAAACAGCCAGCCACGAGGTCCTCCTCCTGGACTAGTGCAGATCACGGACCGCACTATATGCACAAATGGAGGCCTTTCCCCACTTAGAGATAATGCATGTAACAATTTTTTTTTTACTGTTTTGTTTTTTCTTCCCTGAATTTTTCTTAAATACTGATGATTATGTCTCTATATGACTCAAGCACATGATGGTATGTATCGGATTATTATAAGTCTAATGTGTGGTTTTCCCTCAGAGCACCATGGCTTTCCAGGGCTTTGACACTTGAGCGAGTTTGAGAACAGCTCACTTGTTCTCCAGGCACAGAGAAGGAAGTGACCCACCAGGGCCTCATAAGGAGTGGGGAGCAGGGTCTGGCTCAGACCAGGTCTCCCATCTCAGTTGGGGGAAGGACAGAGCAAGGAGGAGGTGAACCCTGGCCTCCTTAGCAGCCAGGGAGTTCCTGAAGGCAACACTCATTCCCTGTGACTCTTCCTCTCAGGGAGGCATGGGGCTGAAGGCCTTAGAATTTCAGGTGCCACCTCTCCCAGGGGTCTGTGCCCTGGAAGACATCCTCTGGAGAATGACATTCTAACAGTGGAGATGTAGATCAGATGGGCCCGGGGTCACCGACTTGGGCCACTGTCTCTCTCTGCCTCCCTGTGAGATTGGGCAGAGCCTGTGCCCACCTGGGGACCCTTCACGCCTCACCTTCCACATGGCCATGACCAGGACTGTGAGCAACAGCAGGCCACCCTGCACGCCTGCCAGCACCCACCAGATCGGAATGACCCTGTCCTCCAAGACCCGAAGCACCTGCGTCTGCACCTGAAGGCAAACCAGCAGATCTCCTCAGTCACCTTGACATTTGCCTTTCCCAAAGATGCAAGCTTGTGGGCTGGTGACCCCCAGCCAAGCTACCTACCTGTCCCACCCCTCTGACCCAGGGAGGCCCTGCCCCCATTCTGCCGGGCACAGACACAGGAGAAGACCAATGGGTCCTGCAGGACTCATCTCCTCTGCCACTATTCTGTACTCACCTGAGCTTCCCCGCTGGGCAGGCTGAGGGCCGGCACGGCGTAGGGAAGGGAGGAGACGTTGAACCAAGCATGTGACTGTAGCACAAACTGATCCAGTGGCTTCTGCATGGGGTGGGGGTGAAAGCCATTTACATGATGTCTATCAGTTGCAGGAGTCCCAGCCAGACTCCCCCTGGGGGAGCCCTGCCCCTGGCCTAGTCCTGTCCTCTCCAAAGTCAACCTTGCCCTCACTCTCTTCCCGCCCCCTGAAGCCCCACCTCTCTCCAGAGCATATTGGGTCCTCGCCTCCAGAAGGCCCTGTCCCTGGGCTCTCCCCACCCGTGTCCTGCCCCACCTGGCGGAGGCTGGGCAGCCACAGAAAGGCCAGCATGGTGACCGTGGCCCGCTGACGGCGCGCCATCTCCTGCAGCTCACACTGCACCACAGTACAGGGCGCCGAGTCGCAGCTCTGAGGGGATGCGTCATTAGTCCCCAGTCCCTCTGAACCCATCACCCCCTCACCCCAAGGACCCAACACAGAGGGGCCGAGGGGGTCAGGGAGCTCGGGCCTCCCTCTCGGGAAGGGCCTCAGATTCAAGCTTCAGACGTTATCTCTAAGTGGGATTGCTCACCCCGTCCCAGAGATGCAAGGAGAGATGGGGAAGAGGTGGGTCATCATACAGCGT